TGACAAAGAAGATTAATCAGAACTGGCTTTGACAAGCACTGTGGCATTTGGACAAGAACAAACTGGGAGGAGGGTAGAGAGAATGGTGTAGCAGTGAATGAATGGAAACCCAAAATCTCTGTAAATGTTTATAAAAATTAATAAAATATAATTATAGAAAAAAAAAGAATGCATCCTGTCTCCATACCTTTTCAGTCTCTATGTAGAACAGATCATTCAGGAGGCTGGGCTTTAGGAGGAGGAATGTGGCATCAGGATTATAGGAAGACTCATCAACAGCCTACATTATGCAGGTGACACAACCTTGCTTGCTGAAACTGAAGACCTGAAGTGCTTGCTGCAGAAGGTCAAGGACTGTAATTTTCAATATGGATTGAAGCTCAACTTCAAGAAGACAAGTATTTTCACCAGTTGGCCAATTGGCAGCACCATGATAGACGGAGAAGAGATTGATATTAACAGTTATAGCTCACTCAGCCCCACAGTCAACACTCTTGGCACCAGCAGTCAAGAAATCAAAAGACAAATTACTTAGGTAAATCTGCTGCCAGTGACCTCTCTAGAGTGCTGAAAAGCAAATATGTCCGTCTGGAGACTAAGATGAGCCTAGTCCAGGCCATGGTCTTCGCAATTACTTGCTATGCATCAGAGAGCTGGACAATGACTAAGAATGACAGAAGAAAATCAATGTCTTCAAGTTGTGATGCTGGAGAAGAGTCTTGAACATACCATAGACCTCTAAGAAAGTAAAAAGGTCTGTTTTGGAGAGGGTGAAACCAAGTTTCTCCTTAGAGGCTAGGATTTTTAAAGCTCTGTCTCACATACTTTGGGTACATGGCCAGGAGGGACCAATCTTTGGTGAAGAACATTATTATACTCTGAAGGGTGGAGGGATAGTGCAGGAGAGGAATTCCATCCAGACGGGATGGATTGATATAATAACTAGGACAATGAGGGTTGGTGTGTCAGAATCATTGACATTGGCTCAGGACAGGGCCACCTTCAGAGCTGCTGTACATAAGGTCTCTATAGGTCTCAGGTGACTTGATGGCACATAACAACAACATGATTAACCAAACACACACCTTACCCCTCTGCTTCCCCTTCCCCCCTTAGATCCTAATACACATTCTACAATAATGGTCTTATTCTGTATTTGTCCTTCATTGTTCTGCGTTCTGCATAGTATTCCATTATGTGAATGTACCATAATTTCTCAATTCATTCAGTTGTGCTTGGACATCTGACTGTTTCCATGTTCTTGCTATGGTGAATAATGTGGCTATGAACATTGGTGTACAAGTATCCATTGGTGCCTCAGTTCTCATTTTCTCTGGGTATATTCTAAGCAGTGGAATAGCTGGGTCATATAGAATTTCTATATTCAGCATTTTTTTTTATATTCAGCATTTTGAGGAAATGCCAAACTTCCTTTCAGAGTGATTGTTCCATTTTACAATACCACCAACAATATATAAGAGTTCTTATCTCGCCACATCCTCTCCAATATTTATTACTTGCTGTCCTGTTAAACTTTGCCACTGCTAGTGGAATGAGATCCTATCTCGTTGTGGTTTTAATCTTTCTTATTGCCTGTAATTTTTAGCATTTTTTCATGTGTCTGTTGACCATCCAAATATCTTCCTCTATGAAATTATTTGTCTTTTGCCCATTTTTTAATTGTGTTATCAGTCTTTTTCTTGTGGAGGCCCCATCAGATTCTGTAAATTTTTTATTATGAGACCCTTGTCTTAAATTGTATTGCCAAATGTTTTTTCACAGTCAGTAGATTTTTTTTTTTCTCTGTTAGAAAATGTTTCTACCGCTTACAGAGATTTACTCTTTAGGAGGTCCCATTTATCAATGAGCATTTCTGGCTGTATTTGGCAGTCTCTTTATACCATAGACTAGGCCGTCTAAACTTGACCCCAGTTTGTCTCTTAAGAACGTTACAATTTTGGGCTTTATGCCCAGGTCTCTGATCCACCTTGAGTTGATTTTTGTATATGGAATAAGATGTGGATCCTGTTTCAGCTTTCTGCAGGGAGCAATCCAGTTTTGCCAGCACTATTTGTTGAAGAGTTTGTCATTTCTTCATTTGATAGGTTTTATTTCCTTGTTGAATATCAGTTGACCATAGATAGCTGGGTCTATTTCTGGGTTCTCAATTCTGGTCCATTGATCTATGTGCCTATCATTGAACCAGTACCATGCTGTTTGCTTACTGTCACTGTATAGTAGGTTTTGAGGTCAGGGAGTGCCATGCCTCCCACATAATTTTGTTTTCAGAAGTACTTTGCTTACTTGGGATCTCTTTCCTCTCCAAATAAACTTGACAATTTCCTTTTCTATCTCCTTGAAAAATGAATTTGGTATCTGGATCGAGATTGCATTGAATGTGTAGATTGCTTTTGGTAGGATTGTCATTTACACAATATTGAGTCTTTCTATCCATGGACAGGACCCCCGTTTTTCTATTTATTTAGGTCTTTTATTGTGTCTCGCAGAAATGTTCTGTAGTTTTCTTTGTACAGATCTTTTGTGTGTCTAGTTACTTCACTCCCAAGATCTCAATTTGTGGTTGGCTATGAGGTCCCTTTGTTACTATAGAGAAATCCCATTGATTTTTTGATATTGGTCTTATATCTTGCCACTCTACTAAATTGTCTACTAATAGTCCTTTTGTTGAGTCCTTGGGGTTTTCTGTTTATGCTATCATATTATCTGCATATGTTGTTGATTGTTGTTATTGCCTTTGAGTCAAGCATGACTCATAGTGACCCTATGAACAAAAGGCCTGAAGCCCCTCTTCAACTATCAACATTTATCAAAGTTTGTAGAGTTTCTGGAGGCAAGTTGTTTAGGAAGTTGATGCCACTCCTGCTTCCAAACCTCATGGAATGTGTTATTGGTTGAGTTGCCTGAGATGAATAGTGACCCTAGTGATAGTTTAACCATCTCTTTGCTGATCTGGATGCCTTTTATTTCCTTCTCTTGTGGTATTGCCCTAGTAAGTACTTCCAATACAATACTGGATAGAAGTGGTAGTCCTGCATTGATTTTAGTGATGCATAATACTCCTGTGTGTGTGAATGTGCTTGAGTTTTTTAACCATTTGTCCATTAGTGGAAACTTGAGTTGTTTCCAACTTTGGTTCTTATAATTCTGCAGTAAACATGAGTGTGTGTGTGTTAGCTTGTGTTGTAGTTCATGTTTCTTTGGGATACAATCCTATAAGTGTATAGTGAGTAAGGAGTTGCACTGTGAACCCACAAACAAGTGGTTTGAATTTACCAACTTATCCAAGGGAAAGTGATGGACTGTCTCCTCTTGTGTTATCTACAACAGCAGTGAGTATAGTACGGTGATACAGCTGGATCAAATGTTATTTTCATCCTTCTAGGGAAGCAGCAAACTGCTATCCTTAGTGTCTCACCATTTGATGCTCCCACCAACAGCATGTGACAGATCCAGTATCTCCATACCCTTGGCGGCATTTTTTATGTGCTCTCTTGTTGAACTTGCTGTTGTACAACAATATTTTGGAGGTACACAGTTTAATTAGTAACACACTCAAGCTCAGCACCATAGTTTGTCTGGCAATACCTCTGCTCAGAGAACAGCTGTCCCTGAGTTCTCTTGCTGGGTGGCCGGGGCCAGGAAACCAAATTTGTCCATTGATGAGAATATCCAGGATTAGAGGGGTCCCTTGGTGTGTGACACTGGTTCCCCAGGAACTCTGCCAGCACCACGCTCACTTATTCCCCTTCTGCTTTCTTTCAGGACAAGCAGCTGCGAATCTTCGACCCCAGAGCAAAGGCTGAGGCTTCTCAGGTGATTTGCAAGGGCACATGTGGAGGGTCCACCAGGTGGAGTGGGACGTGTTGGGCTTTGGCAGCTGCGTCTCCACCCAAAGCCCTTTCCATGAGGGCCAAATGGGGATATCTAAGTGTTGGGCTCTGCTGCTGGGAACTTTTGGAAGTGTGGGATCCTGATCACAGGGTAAGGTACTGCCAGGCTGCCCAAAGGTAACTAATTGGTGGATGTATCCCGTGGCTTTGGGAGGCTAATTTTGCTATCTTCTTGCCTTCTTGGATCTCCTCACCTCACCCTCTTTCGGGCATGTTTGAGAGAGGTCAGCCATAGGGGTGATCCAGGAACCCTACCAGCCACCCCTACTCCTGGGACCTTTGTGCTATCACCTCTGGTATGCCTGAGGATGTGTGTGTGTGCGTACATACAGGCATGTGTGCACGTGAGTGTGAGTGTGTGCGGTCATGTGCAGTGTGTAAGAGTGCAGAGTTTTGTGTGCGAGTGTGTTTGTGCCAGTGCATGTGCCTGAGTATGTTTGTATGCATGTGCAGTGCATAAGTGAGTGCAGAGATGCATGTGTGGGTGTGCTTGTGTGTAGGTATGTGTTCCCGAGTGCATACATGCACATGTGCAGTGCATGGGTGAGCACAGATATGCATGTGTGTGAGTGTATGGCAGTGTGTGTGTACGTACACACATGTGTAGTGCACAATGAGTGTAGAGGTACATATGTGTGTAGGTGAGCGAGTTTGTGCCTGGCTGTGTACATGTATGTACAGTGCTTGTGTGAGTGTGTGCTGATGATATATGTGCCTGTGTGTGTGTGTGTGTGTGTGTGGTGTGTGTGTGTGCATATGTGCATATATGTTTCTGCCAAGTTCCCAGCAGGAAAACTAAGGCATCAGGCCTCAGGGAATCAATTATTCATTGAACAGAGGTGTCTGAGCAGCTGCTTTAGGTTCTGTGTATTGTGAGGAGTGGAATGCGACTGGCCCTGCTCTGGGGCAGGTGCTGGGAGGCTTTTCTGGTCAGGGAGCCCTAGCCCGATGCCCACAGTTAGTACACTCAGTGCTCATTGAAAAGTTGGCTGTGCCAAGCCACGCAGAGCCCCTCAGGAGAACGGCCTAGTGACCTTGTCCAGCAAAGCAGCCATCACAGATGCTGTCGTGGAGCACAGTTGTGTGCTAACATACCTTTTGGCCATGACCCGGAGAATAGTTTGCTGGGGCTCCCCTGAGGGGCTGGCTGTAGAGGCTAGAGAGCACAGAGGGGGCATGTGTCTGGAGTGTTTGAAGGAGGAAAGGTGGGGCCAACCTGAAGGGCTTGTTCCCCTATTTTGTAAAAGGCTTTTTAAAAAAAAAAAGAAAAGAAAAAAGAAAAAGGCTTTTTTTAAAAAATGTATTTGCAGAATAATTTATTTTAGAAGGGTTAGAGGAAGGTCTGGCGACCTCCTTTGTAGGGAGTTGTGCTGCCGGCCCCAAAGTGGATCCTGTTCCACTCCCCCAGCGGGTTCTCAGGAGAAAGATAGCAGTTTTCTCCTGTGCAATTTCCAGCCTCAGAAACCTGCTGGAGAGTCAACCAGGATGTGATTCTGAAAGGATTGGTCCCATACTGGTTCCTATGAGGCGCAGATCAAAGATGCCCTGAAAGGCCAACTTTTCCAAGCTGTTCTACCACGCTCCCACTGCTGACGTCAGCTGTCCCACTCCTCCCCGTTCCCTCACTGCTGACATCAGCTGTGCTGCCGCTGCTCCCCCCACCATATTAGCTGTTCCTCCTCCCCTCAGCTCTCACACCTGTCAGTATCTTTGGGTTCAGTAATTTGCTGCTATATCTCACAAAATCTCAAAACTGTCAGGGAAGTGTTTTAACGGAGTTGTAAAGGCTGGTGGGTCCCACAGCTTCCAGTGCTTGAAGTACTTGGGGTGCGAAGCCTATGGCTGTGCTTCACAGAGCAGCTGGGTCAGGTCACATAGAGTGTCCACAGCAAAAAGACTTGAACTTTCCCAGAGCTTTCCTGAATATGGAGTCTTGAGGCTACAAACCACACCCTCAGGAGAACTCAGGGTGGTTACTTGAGGTCATACCCCCTGGTAAGGTGGGGAGTCAAGATATCTCCCACCCTAATCTTTACTCATTGTTGTCACAGACCCCTCCAGAAGGAGAACAGAAGCACAGTGAGGCTAGAATTCATATTCACTGAGATGTGGAAGCTATGGTCGATATTGCCTAATTCACCACATCACAGTACTGAAACATATATAGCGTAAAACTTTTTAATGTAAGAAGTTTTTAAGCTAGAAAAGAGCCCTAATGGCGACAGTGGATTAAATACTGGGTTACTAACCAAAAGGTCAGCAATTCAAATCCACCATCTGCTCCAAGGAGAAAGATGAGCAGTCTCCTTTTGTAAACAGTTACAGCCTTGGAAACCTGCTGCAGTGTCTCTGTAAGCTGGAATTGACTTGATAGCAAGAGGTTTGGTTTTATATGATTTAGTAAGTAGAAAGTAGAAATAGTAGATTTTCATGTTTAGAAAGGTCATTCTAGAAGCTGTGGCGCCTACTTCCCCAAGAAAGGTGAAGTTTGGGGTCCTGCTGCAGGCTTTGGCCGGAGGAGCAGGCCCATCACAGATGCCCCCTATTCCTGCTTCCCAGACAGGTCTTCACTTGAGTCGTGGGTGGAAAACCCCAGAAAATCATTGCCGTGGCGTTGGTGCTGACCCACAGTGACCCTCAGGGACACAGTGGGACCCACCGCCCTCTGCTGGACTGGGAAGGCTGAGTCTTCACAGGACAGGCTGCCCCTCCTTTCTCCTGCAGAGTGGCTGGTGGATTGGAACCACCAAATTTTCAATTAGCAGCCCAGTGGCTTAACCTAGTATGGCTCTCTGGGTTTGGGGTCCACAGCCAGCTTATCCCAGCCTGGGAGCCTCTGCCTCGTGGAATGTCTCGTCAGCATCTCCTCATTGAAGACTGCCTCTGCCCAGGAACAGGGGTGGGCATGGGCAACCATGCGTGTGACCTCAGGAGACCCGGGGAGGGGGGGTTGTCGGTTGGCCTCCTTCTGTCTGCTCCTATAGTTTGAGACTCATTTTCTTCTCAGGTCACTGGTGCTGTGACCAGGATCCCAGCTCCACAACGTTTCATGACTGTCCTTCAAGCCATTAGAAGCCTTGGTAGCAAAGTGCTTAATGTACTAGGCTGTTCAAAAGGTCAGCCGTTTGAATCTACTAGTGGTGCTTCTGCAGAAAGGTGGGCCGTGTCCTCTGCTAAATATTCACGGTCTGGGAAACCCCTCTGAGTGCTACTGTGAGTTGGAACTGACTCAGTGTCAGTGGGTTTTTAAGGCTTTGTACAGAAATGAGGTCCTGGATTCAGCTTGCAGTGGTGGACCAAGCCAGATTTCTCTGTGCTCCCCCAGCGCCCCTCCTGGACCGAGTGCTGTTTTGCTGTTTTGCTTCCCTTCCCTCCTCCTCATCCCCCTCCTTTTTTTCCTTGGCCTCCTCCTCCCCTCCTCTAGAGAAGTGGGCGTTGAATAATGTCTCTGATGGCCTCTGGGAAGGAAAGTGGATCTGGTTCAGCATGGCTCCCCCTTGAAGGGGTGTCTGGGCAGAGGAGACCTGGGAACTGTGGGGGTGGTGTGTGCCCATTCCCTCCCAGTTGTTGGGCTGGTGCCTGTACCCCAGAGGTGTGGTTTGCAGGGGTGTGGGGTGTGTGGCTGTGCGCCTGGACCACTGCCCTCTGCCTGCCGTACTCCCACTTCCGCCTAGGGCATCTGGCCCACACCTGGCTCCTATTAGGAAAACCGCTGCTGGCGACCAGGCCAGGGCAAGCTGAGGGGCCGGCTCAGGGGGCTTTCAGGGAGCGGCTGTTCCTGATCCTCCTTCCTGGCTGCCAGGGCCACTGGGGTGGGTGTTCTACCCATGGAGGCTCAGAGACCCTGCCTCTGACTCCCTGTGCCTAAAGTGGAGAGACCTGAATGGGTCACTATGTTCACCCCAACTCTACTCACACTTCCATGGATGTGAGGTGTTTGCCCATGTCTGATTCCCAAGCTGTTGGTCTCTCTATTGCCCACTGTGGGAGCCATGGTTCTGAGGGCACCAGAGGGCTGGCTGGTTCTCTTAGCCTCCCCACATACCCAGGGAAGTTGGGCTGAACCTGGATAGGTCCTAATGAGAGAAGAGCGAGGAGGTCTTATAACCACAGAGGGTTCTCGGGTCTCCCCAGGAGCCAGGGCTGCCGTCCTGTCCCACAGGAAGTATTGCCATAGGGATGGAACAGGGCTTTGGCTGCCACTGTGGAATGCTGGTGGATGGCCCTACAGGTCAAAAACACCCCATTCTACTCTCCAGCCCGTGCTGAGTGTGACCGAATGGCCAAGATGCCCTCTCTGGTTGTGGAGCAGAGGTGTCCACCCCCACCCTAGCATCCCAGCAGGACCTGCACCCTCGCTCCTCTTGAGGAGGGAGACCCCAGGGCCAGAGTTTGGGACTCAGGAGTACCCTGTAGCCACCTGAACACCCCCATGTCTGTGCCAGGGCAGAGTCTGTTCAGAGACTGAGAACTTTCCAGGAACCAGGGTAGGGTGGTTTCATGTGGTTTCAGGCCAACTGAGGGGTCCCATGACCACAGAAGGGAACCCTGAGCCACAGCACAGTACCTGTGAAAGCCAGTGGGTCCAGAACTCCAGATCCCTCCTTCAGCTTGATCCTGGGGCCCATGTCTCAACCTTGGATTTGTACCAGCAATCTTCTAGTTAGCAACTGAACCTTTAACCATTGTGCCACCAGGGTTCCAGCACTTCATCTGTCTCACTGGCTGACTTTGGGCGAGTGACTACCTTTTTTCCTATGCCCTCCTTGCCCTCAGGCCCTGCTGCCCTGTCCTGCCCAGTCTACCCCTGTGTCTTGGTCCAGGCCTAGCTCTCAACCCTCAGCATCCCCTCAATGCTGACAATAGCAGAGAGAGTGTATGCAAGACTGTAAGAGGACATACATAACCCCTTGTCATCTCTGCTGCTTCTCCTCCCCACTTAGTGACTGTGCAAGTTGTCACCTCTCTGATCTTCTGTTTCTTCATGTCCTAGCTGAGAACAGTAACAGCTAGCAACCCAGGAGCTGCCTCCAGCCCTATTCTGTCCTGCTTGACTGTATTTTTCACTGAAGCTTGACTGATGTATATTTTTATTGTGTGCCATCAAGCGGATCCCAACTCATGGGGACTCCGTGTGACGGGGTAGAACTGACTCAACAGGTTTTCTAGGTTCTCATCTTTGTGCAGGAGTCTTGGTAGCTGGCCCAGTGGGTTAAGTGTTAGGCTGCTAAGCAGAAGGTCAGAGGTTTGAACCCACCAGCCACTCCTCTGGGCAGGCTCCATAAAGATTTACAGCATCAGAAACCCTATGGGGCAGTTCTTTTCTGCCCTGTAGCATCATAATGAGTCAGAATCAGTGGGTTGTAATCTTAATAGGAGATTACCAGTTTTCTCTCCTGGAGCTACTGCTGGATTTGAACCACCAACCTTCCAGTGAGCAGCTAAGCCTTTAACCATTGTACCACCAGGGTTCCAGCACTTCAGCTCTTTCACTGGCTGACTTTGGGCAAGTGACTGCCTTTCTCTGGATCTGTTTTCCCCACATGTAAGAGAAGAAAGTGGGAGATAGGGATCAAAACATGTTCAGTCTCATGCTTGTGCCTCTGCATGGAAAATGCAGGTGCAGGATTGCAGCCCAGAGGCCAGGGTCTCTTGACACCTGCTTTCTCCACCTCTGACCATCCCTACCCAGCTTCTGTGTACCCCAGTCACTGACCCTTTGTACACACTGGTCTGTTGCTTCACCCACGTTAGTTTTCAAAACAGCCTTTTTTTTTTCTTTTTTAAATAAATTTTTATTTGATACTGGTTTGCTTACAAAATTTATATACATTCTTTTTTTTTCTTTTTGGTGAGAAAAATTTATATTTAGAATTAGCCCACTGGACTCAGTTTAGATGATCCCAATTTTGTTGGCAACATCCAAAGCATCATATTAGGAGCAAGTCGAACATAGGCCTTCTTCTCTCCATCAGGCCTAATCAAAATGTTGACCTTGGCCACATCAATGTCATAGAGCTTCTTTACAGCTTGTTTAATTTGGTACTTGTTGGCCTTGACATCCACAATGAACACAAGAGTGTTGTTATCTTCTATCTTCTTCATAGCTGACTCGTGGTCAGGGGAAATTTGATGATGCCATAGTGGTCAAGCTTGTTTCTCCTGGGGGTGCTCTTCCGGGGGTATTTGGGCTGCCTTCAGAGTCTCAGCGTCTTAGGCCCCCAGAAGGTGGGTGGCGTGCGGATCTTCTTTTTTTTTTGGCTGTGACTGCCTTCTTGGCCTTTAATGCCTTTGCTTTGGCTTCAGTTTTGGGAGGGGCAGGGGCTTCCTTCTTCGCTTTCAGCGCCATCTTCAAAAAAGGCAAAATTTATATACATTCTTTTTTATACCAGATCTTTCCTGTTTCCTTTACCCACCCCTCCCTCTACCTATCAAATTGTGTGACCCTATGTTTACCCGCTAGCTCATCCTCACCCCTCTCCTTGGAGGATCCTCATACATGTTTTACTAGTTACCTATTTCTAGAACCTTGATCTTATAAAATATTTGTCGTTATAAGACTGAGTTAGTTCACTTAGCATATTGCTCTTTAGTCCCTCCCAAGTTAGGTAGTAATTTACAGAATCATTGCTCCTGCATGCTACATCATGTGAATGTACCATAATTTCTCAATCCATTTGTGGTTGGACATCTGGGCTGTTTCCATGTTCTTGCAATGGTGAATAATGCTGATGTGAACACTGGTGTACAGGTCTCTGTTTGTGCCTCAGTTCTCATTTTCTCAGGATATATTCCAAGCAGTGGAATAGCTGGGTCATATGGACTTTCTATGGTCCTTTTGAGGAAACAGCAACTGAAAAAGGCTCTTTCAAGACTTTCCAGCTCCCTCCCTCAAATATACTGTTGTTCCACTGTGGTCCATACCTTCTAGCACACAGTGTCCCTCTCTCTGTCAGGCTCTGACACTGCAAATGAGTGGGAGGAAACTGCCCATCTTGGAGAGGCTGGTGGATTTAGACCACTTACCTCCGTTTGATTACATGTTCGCACTGCAACTCCATCCCTAAATTAACAAATGTGGCTTTGAAACCTGCCGTACCTGCACACTCTTTGGGCTCCTTCTACCTCCCTGCTGTGTATGGTCTGTGAACTTGTTGGCCTTTCCTGTTTTATGCACAGTCCCTGGAGCCCAGCACAATACTGGCCTGAGGGAGTTCCTCCTGTTTGTAGAATGACCAAATGATGTGGTATGCCGCTGCCTCCTGGGAGTGTTTGCATAGTGACAGAGACGAACAGACAAATGATGCTCCTGACCCACTGTGGAGTGAGGTGGGCTGGCACTGTCACCCAGATGGGCCTTCGCAGGGTTTCTCACTGAGGCTCGACTTGGTGCCAGCAAGTCGCGCTTGATGCTTAGCGGAGCCTCCATTGGGTTTCTGAGGTGGTAAATCTTTGTGCAGGAGACATCTCTTCAGTGATGCATTTCACACCTCTGACCTGTTTGAAAGCCCAGTGCTTAGCTCACTACACCATTAGGTCTCCTTTGTTCATATTGTCAAGGTCAGGATAATTCATGAAGAACATTATATACTGAGAATCCTGACCTGGCCAAGTTGGCATGCATTTGAGGAGACTGTGGTCCAATCCAAACACTGACCCTTCCCGTGGCCTCTCCTGCTTAGCCCCTTGTGTGAAGAGAGGTGTTTGAGGCTCAGATTCTCAGGCTCTCACCCAACTTCCTGTGCTGGCCCCAGCCGGGTGGGGAAGTAGAGAGTGCAAAGGCCCCTTGGAGGATAGAGCTGCAATGGCCGCCCACGCAAGGGCAGAGGCGGAGCCCATGGCCAGCTCCTTGCCAGCCCTCCCTCCCTCTTGCATTCCCAGGGAGACCGTGGGAAGCAGGGAAGAAGCTAGCTATGGTTCGGGGTGAGCTATTTTTGGTAACAGGGTCCCTCATCTCAGGCTCTAGGGCCAGGGTGACCAGGAGGGGCTGCTTATGTTTCCTCTGGCCCTCCCCTGACCCCCAGGATGGGCCCCAGAGGACTGGGCAGCCACTCTCACCCAAGGGATTAACTCACCTCCTATGGGGCTATTTTCATTAAGCCTGTCTGCAGGCACCTCCCCACACTGCACCGCCGCACCCTTGGAGACCAGGAGGGGCACCCTGGGACCTCTGGGACCATATCCCAGAGCCTGGCACAGACACCTCACTGGCCCTGGGCAGGCAGCACCAGAAGGGGGTCGTTGGGTGCAGTATCCCTCCATTACCCCAGCAGTGGGCAAAACTGAGTTATAGAGGATGGTAGATATCCATGGTGAGACCAGCACCTAGCATGGTGCCTATGCCTGAGGCCAGGTGTCCACATCTCCCAGATACCTACAGAGACCAGAGCATGTTGCTGCCTCCAGTCCTGTAGCTGTGGGGTCAGGGACTATGAATGAGCCAGGCAGTGCCAGGCCCTTCAACCAAAACTCAAGCCCACTGCTATCAAGTTGGCTGATGCACAGTACCCCCAGCAACAGAGTAGACCTGTTCTACAGGGTTTCCATGCTGTAAATCTTTACCCTGTTATTCTCCTGTGGAGTGGCTGGTTGAACTGTGGTCCTTTTATTTCTCAATGAAGTGTTCCATCCACTGCACCACCAGGACTGCTGTGAAGGGTACCTGGGAGGAGAGAGCTAAGCCTCATGTGTGTCCACTTGCCCTCCTGAGGCCCAGGGACTTCTGGGAAGATGGGTGGCAGAACTTCCCCATCTGGGGTCCACCCTAGCAGGCCCTGATCCTGGGGGACCAGGAAGCTCATTTCATCTCTTACTTCCCACAGAACACGCAGGCCCATGACAACTGCAGAAGTGGCCGGCTGTTGTGGACAGGCACCCAGGAGCAGCTTGTGTCGACGGGTGCCAACCAGGTAGGGCTCCCCTGGGTGAGTGGTGCCTCATGGTCTCAGTGCAGAGTAGAAGCCATGGGAGGGTGGGGCTGGTGGACAGTCCCAAGCCTGTCCTATATGGAACCAGCCACATACTGCAGATGGACACATTCCATGAGCAGTAGCTCATACTGACCCTGGAAACCAGGGAAGCCCCACAGGGACCAGAGTCCACAGAGGCTGCCCTTAGTCCCTTGTCACCTAAGAGCTTTTAAAGAGATAGAACCTGATGACCCCCAAACCCCCTGTGGACCTGCTGGGGCCAGGCAGGGCAGAGGTTGTCTCCATCGAGTCTCTCTCTCTGAGCCCCCCTCTGCCTTTGTCTCTTCTTCCAGGTACGGGAACATGAAGTGAAGCTTTGGGACACCAGGCACCTGTCCAGTGCCTTGACCTCCCTCACCTTGGACATCTCACCGGGGTAGGAGCCCCCATGTGCTGGAGTGTCCCTAGTGCAGGCTGAGTTTGCTAGGCCCACTAGGGGAGATTTCACCCAGTGAGCAGGTGCATGTGTGGCCTGGGAGTCAGGTACAAAACCCTGGGGCGTTACTCTGGGACATGTTGGCATCTGGGGAGGGGCTGTGGCCTCTAAGATGCGACATGAGGCAAAGATTAAGGGTGCATACTTGATGTTGTTGCAGAGCAGAGGGGGCAAAGCTAAGATGGCAGGGTGGACATGGACAGGCCTTGGACTCCCTTAGTCTTTATATGGTTGTACAGCTCTGTCATGTCTGCCCCGGTGTGTCCCAAGCAAGGCAGCAGAGAGTGGCCAGGCAGTGAGGTCAGCACAATGCAGCCCTCTTCCTTAGCCCTAGCAAATGCAGGGTAGGGGTTTGTGAGTGTGTTCAGGGAGGACCTGAGAGCATGTGCTTGTCTCTGCGTGGGTAGGGGACAATCCTGCGTGAACCCAGGAGGATGTCCTGCCCTTGAGAAGATAGGAAGCATTGTCTGATTCCTGTGTAGATTCAGAACACATCCCTACATGGACCCAGAGCACTGCCCTGTCCCCATGTAGGCCAGGGAACACAACCCCATAAAGACCTAGAGCTCTTGTCCATCCCCATATACCAGGAACATGCCCGCATATGGATCTGGAGCACTAGCGCATCCCCATGTAGACCAGGGAGCACACTCCAATATGAACCTGGAGCACTAACTCATCCCCATGCAGACCAGGGAGCACACTCCCATATGGACCTGGAGCACAAGCCCATCCCCATGTAGACTAGGGTGCACAACCCCTATGGACCTGGAGCATTGAGGTGTAAATGTGTAGACCCCCATATGGACACTGAGCTGTCCACATGTAGACCAGGGAGCACACTCCTATATGGACATAGAGCACTGACTTATCCCCTTATAGATCAGTATCATGCCCCCATATGGACATGGAACATTGACCTGTCCACAAGTAGACCCAGGAGCACACCCCCATATGGACATGGGGTGCTAGTCCATCCCCATGTAGACCAGGGGGCACACTCCTCTATGGACATGGAGCACTCATCTGTCCCCCTGTAGACCAGGGAGTACAATCCCCTACACAGATCCAGAACACTGGCCTGTCTCCGTATAGACCAGGGAGTACATCCCTTACACGGATCCAGAACACTGGCCTGTCTCTGTGTAGACCAGGGAGTATATCCCCTACGTGGATCTGGAGCACTGGCCTATCCCCATGTTCTTCTGGGAGCATTGATTCACCCCAGTGTGTACCTCAGAGTACTGGTCCATCCCCTGAACACAGATCAACCCCAACCCCAGCCAGCCAGCCAGCCAGCCCTGTCACGGTTCTGACCCAAGCAGGTTCATGGCCTGCATTTGTCAATGGCCAGCCCCCAGTGCCCCATTCCATTCATTCTGCCCACCCTACAGATGAAGAAATTAAGGCTTAGGACCGTTCAGGCACTTGCCAGGCCTCGGGCTGTGATGGGAACAGGAGTTGGTGCCATCTCTGACTCCACCACAGCTGGGGCCATGCCTGGGGGAAGGAATGAGTGGGGCACCAGGCAGGCCTTTTGGGATCTGTGAGTGTGAGGCCCAAGAAGCACCTCTCCTTCATTTCACCAAGCTCCAGGAGCAGCGGCCAGTATGTCAGGGGTGGGAAATGCCCTTACTATGTCCTGTGTTTGTTGCTCCACCGGAGAGTCCATAGACTGAGTAACCCTAGAGTAAGAGCATCCTCTCTATCACAACCCAGGGAGATCTGGGAAGTAAGAAGACTCATTTTACAGAGAATAAAATGAGGCTGCACAAGGTTATTGCTGCCGGCTCCACCAGAATGTCTGGATGGGGATTCATTTAGAAAGAAGTCTTTTAGCACCTATCCCTCCTCAGGCGGGGTCTTGTAGAGCCCGTCTGCCTGCTCTAAGGCTGTGCTGCATCTCAGCCTCAAGCTGTCCTGGGTTAGGGCGGCCACTCTCCCAAGGCCTCCAGTGCTGGTGGGCTGGAGGGAGTGACACCTAGGAAAGAACCCAGCATCTCAGGGCACAGTGCCCACCCACCCACCTCTTCCTGTCCTGGGATTTGCCCTGCCTGCTAGCCTCCCTCCCACTGGGAGCAGCCCGCCCAGCCTGGCCCGTTTAGGGTTAATGAGGCCCAGACCCCAATGTGCCACCAGTTGCAGCTGACTCTGTAATTTCAGCAGTTAAGAATATCCCTGAAGGACCATTGTGGCCTGAAATTTCTCAAATTGCTTTCAGATGGGTGGCCAGGACAGTGTCCTTTCTCAGTGCCCCTCTTCCCCTGGCTTGGTCCACCAGCCTGACCCTGGCAGGGTAGCAGAGACCCTCCATCCCTCCCAGCTGGTGGGAACCAAGAAAGTGTTTTCATGTCCAGTCAGTCCTAAGCAGGGCTGGGTCTCTCCCTGGACTCCTGGCCTATAGTTTCAGGGTCCTAGGATACCTGGACTGAAGAAAAGAAGTGCATGGTGGGGCCGCAGCCACTGGAGGGTTGGCAGATGCCTTTGTATCCTGCCCCCATCCCACCAGTTTCTTCTCTGTTTTGTGTATTTTTCTGTCATAGTTTGGACAGAAGAAGCTGTGCACAGTAAGAACTGGGGGCCAGGGTCCATGCACACCCAAGTACCCCCACCACCCCACTTCCCCTTTTCCCAAGGATGCTGGCTGCCATGAGCCCTGGGCTCCCGGTCTCCACTGTTCTCCTGACTGGGGTCCCAGAGACCACATCCTACATCAGGAATTTGTTCAGAATGAGTGTGAGTGTGTGTGTGTGTCTACCAGTTTTAGCATGTGAGAAGTGAGTTACGAATTCCAGGATGTGAATATGTTGAGGTATGTAACAGTGAGTTTTGTATGTCCTGTGTGCACACAAAGGTATATCCCAATGTACAAATGAGTGAGAGCTTGTTAGAATGCACAGGATTGAGTATGTAGCAGTGTGAGTCAGAAGAAATGGATTGTATGAGTGTGTGTTTAAGTGTGAAAGACAGTGTGTGACTGAACTATATGTGTGAGTGTACCAATGTGAGGAAGTAGATGCCAGGGGATATGCAAGAGGGTTTAGTGTGATGGTGATTTAAGTGTGAGACCATTAAGTGTATGAATATGTGCTGGTGTGAGTACGTGAGAATGAATGTATTAATGTACAATTACGAGTGTAAGTGAACTGTGTATCAGTGCAAGTGAGAATTACATAAGTGCATGTAGGGATGGATGTGTGTGTTTGAATGTGCAAGAATAATGTGTATTTGAGACTGTGATCTATCTATGAGAAAGTGAGTGAGTGAGCAGGAGTGTAAGATATGAGTGTATCTATCAGTGCAAGTGAGCGTAAGTGGGCTATGTGAGTGTGAGAAGGTGTGTATATGTCTTTGAACAGTTTGAGTGTATAAAGGATGTGAGTGTGAAACAGTGTATCCTAATAAGCACATGTAAGTAAGTATGAGAGTGAATGCATCTGTGCTGCTTATGTAAGAATAAATGTAAGCCAGATTGAGTGAGAAGCCTGGGTCATAGTGCCCAGCAAGTGCCAGCTCCTCCTCAGGGACATGTCCCTCAGACCCAGGGCCTCCCCGTCCACCTCCCCTGGAGCCCAAGTCTACCCTCTCCCCCTCTCCCCTGGCCCATGCACTCCTGTCCAGGCTTTGTCCATGCATGTGGCCACTGTATTATTCTGGCTCCTTGGAGGTCTCCCTTTCACTGACCCTCTGTGCTCCTAAGGATAAACCCCAGTGTTGTGAAGTTGATTTGAATTCATAGTAACTCCTCCTTTTCTAAGGCTGTAAATGCTTATAGGAGCAGACTGCCCACTTTTCTCCAAGGAGCAGCTAGTGGATTTGAACCATTTATCTCTCAGCATCCTGAAACACTATGCATTGCACCACCAGGGCTCCTTTATACCACGTGTGGGACACTCTAAAAACCTTTTCTGGCAGGCTGATGTGGCATCTAACCCCTTCTCTTGGGTTCTGTTGCCATCCCACGAGGCCAGACCTGACCACAATGTAAAAACATTGACTCTATGTCTGCTGTCCACAAAGGCCCCATTGACAGGCGTGGGGGGAAGGGGCTGCCCACCAAGCTGCCCCCTAATAGGACCCAGGCCTCCAGGAAATCCACCTGGGCTGCCTCAGGAAGAAGGAGCCCCACCCAGGCCACCACCCACCGCTTGCCATGACTGAGACCCACTTCCTAGCCAGGGCCAGAGCCCTCGCAGCCAGTAATTGAATTCAGCGTTTGCGTGAGCCAGCACCCCTCACTGACATAAGTGCTGCCACCGCTGGCTGGCAGAGCCTGTACCCCAGGCCAAGCCACTACCTCTAACCCAGCCCAGGCTGGGGCCAGGGACTGACCCTTGAGGGACCCAGTCTCATGCTCATGCCAGACTTGGCTGAGGCCCCTTTCTGATGCTCTTCCTTGCTCTGAGGTCAGAACCAAAAGATTTTTTTTTTAATTTTTTTTATTTTTTTTTAGAACCAAAAGATTTTGTGTGTATGTCCTTGTCCCCACTCCCACAGTAGTCTGATCCTATCTTGGCCCAGCCAGTTCCAACCCATACTGACCCTCTGTGACATTTCTGAGGCTTTGAGTCTTCAGGGATGGGACTGCCATCTTTTTCCCATAGCGCACCAACCTTTTGGTCAGTAGTTGCATTCATTACACACTGCACCACCAGGGCACCTTTACATTCTTATGAGAGGAGGCTGCCCGTCTTGAAGAGAGGCTGTCTGACTGCTAACTTTTTTAGCTTGAATCTAACACTTGACACACGGCACTACCAGGGCTCTGGTGGAGGGTTGTTGTGTGTCAGAACTGATGAGGTGGCAGGGCGTTTTGGATTGCTGTCCTCAAACTCTAGCCCTGCCGGCACCTCAGCCTGTGGCCTTCTGGGAAAACACTCCCACTTCCGGGGGTTTCAGGAAAGCCTGGCTCATTCCAGCTTGGGAGGCAGTAGGGGGGAAGGGTCAGCACAAGGCCAGCATGCCTGGTCCCATCTGCAAGCTGCAAAAACCTGCCTCCAGCTGTCCCAGGCTTGGCCCTTCTACACTCCCAGCCCATCCTCTGTCCCCAGTGCTCCATCAGGAGACAGGAAGCCAGGAGCAGGACCTCCCAACCTAAGCCCTCTCAGAAGGGCAGAGGGACTGCTAGGGTAACCCTGCAGGAAGGTTCTAGAAGCCATGGTCCATTGGGCACCTCCCTGAGGAAGGTGCTGATACACCCTTATTTACTAGAAGCTGCCCCTTCCATCCTCACCCCCCAAGCGTACATCCTGAGAGGACAGCTAAGGCTGCCCTGACCATCCACTCCTGGTCTGAGAGCACCCAGCTTTCATCCTCAATGAGACCCAACTACTCTGGGCAGGAAGCCTGGATGAGCTCCCAAGGGCTGGGGTCCCAGCCCCCTGCTCAAGCACCCCGGCCTTAGGAAATACACATTTGTTTAATTTTGTTTTTATTTTTTTTTTTTTTACAAAAGGCTTTCATGTCATCATTTGTCTTTAAAAAAAAAAAAAAAAACAAAAAACCCAACATACACAAAACATTAAAGTCTTGGTCTCTAAGTTTGAAAAAAGCTATCCCAGAATAAACGGGACAGGATATCTTATAAATATTTTTTAAAAAACAAATAGCAAAAACAAAAGAGAAACAAAACATGTTCCTAAAAAGTATCTCTCCTTCCAGTTTTTGTTCCTTTGCTCCTAGGACCATGGCTAGGCCCTTGGCGGCCTGTTTCCACCCTGCCTGACAGCTACTGCTCCTTCATTCCTAGACTCTGGGTGGAAGCCCGTCCTGGCTGCACCTGTGTTGCCAGCACGCAGGCACGCTGACCAAGGGCCTAGGGAATTGCACGTTTTCGGGGCTGGGACAGAAGATGCTCTAGGTGACCACCAAGGTTAGGATTACCTCACAGAAGAAAAATCTGAGGTTGAGTGGCGTCCAGGCTGGTTCTGTCCTGCAGAACTGAGGACTTCCTGGCAGCGGGTGCTAGCTGGTCAGGTCAGACGTAGGGCTTTTCTGCAAGGGGCCCCTGCAGGCTGGGTCCTGGATAGCCCATCAGTGGCACTTCACACTCTGGTCCCATGGGCAGGGCCTCCCCACCCACTACAGTTTTGGGGCCTGGCTCCAGGGGGGCCTTCACCCCCTCCAACTCCAGGGGCCCAGCCCCTGGTCCCACCTGGTCCTTGCCCTGGGCAGCTGTTGCCCGTCCCCGCCGCACACAGTAGGCAGCTCCCACAGCGGCCAGTACAGCCAGGAGCACTGCAGCCAGTGCGGGTGCAATGAGCAGAGGCAGATTGCCCTCGTGGGCCTGGGTGACAGGTGAGTGGTTGGAGCGGACAGCCAAGGGTGTGCGGGCTTCCCCACAGACCTCCTCATCTTCTGTCCCCCGGCTGGTCCCCAGGGCCTGCACGCAGATGGAGTAGGTGGCGTTGGGCTGCAGCTGAGTGACCGTGTACTCAGGAAGCCAGGCGGGCAGCCGCAGTGTTACTGGCCTCTTGTCTGGGCCTGAGAGGTTGCGATAGGTGAGCCGGAGACTCCTGAACTGCACCGTATTGTGCAGGTACCGCTGGAGTGCCACCCGCAGGGAGGTGGGGCTCACTGGTTCCACAGCAAGGGGCAGGGGCCGTAAGGCCCTCGGTGTGGCGGGTGCGGGGCTGGGACTGGTGTCCAGTGTCACTATGCTATCACAGTACTGGCCAGTGAAGCCTTCAGGGCACAGGCAGGCCAGGTGGTTCCAGGCACCCAGGTGGCAGGTACCCCCATTCAGGCAGGTGGAGGCAGGGCAGTCCTGGAGCTCAGGGGCAGGCTGCATGGTGGGCAGGGGGACAGATGGCTGGTTGGGTACTTGGGTGACCAACTCTGTAGGTCTGGGTTGGGTTGGCACCTTCCTGGATGGGGAAGGCACCAGCTCGGCGACAGTGGGGGTGGAGGTGGTGGTGGCTGGGCAGCCAAAGTCAGAGTACTGGAGCTGAAAGAGGAGCCGGCCAGCGTTCTTGGGCGGGAAGTGGCAGCGGGTCTCCTCAGGGCTTGCCAGGGCCACTGGGCTATCATGCACCCACTGGCTGAACCAGCTCAGAGAGCACACACAATTGAAGGGGTTGCGGGCAGCTGCCAGGAAGCGCAGGCGGGGAAAGAGATTGGGGAAGCTGGGTGGCAGGGCCTGGAGGCTCAGGTTACTGAGGTCTAGCTCCTGCAGGGTCCCCAGGCCACTCAGCTCCTCAGGCCACAGCTGGGCGATTCGGGGGTTGCCAGCCAGCCGGAGGCGTGTCAGGCTCCGCAGGCTGCCCACAGCAGGCGGCAGGTGCTCCAGATGGTTGTCAGACACATCCAGGTCGCGAAGGTTGTGCAGGGAGCCCAGGAGTTCCTTGGACAGGTGCCGAAGCCCTAGACCAGCCAGCCGCAGGGCCTCTAGGTTAGCTGTGTCCAGCACACCAGGCTCCAGCTCCATCAGGCTGTTGTAGCTGAGGTCCAGCAGCAGCAAGCTGGGCAGGTGCAGTGCAGGCAGGGCCTGCAGCTGGTTATCCTGCAGTTTTAGCTCCAGCAGGTGGCTCATGGCATCGAAGGCACCTGGCTCGATGTGGTGGATATGGTTCTTGCCCAGGTAGAGGCGCTCAAGACACTGCAGGCCACGGAAGGTTTCACCTGTGACCTCCCGCAGCCGATTGGCACTCAAGTCCAGGTTGCTGAGGTTGGCAAGTGGCTGAAAGATCCCATCGGGCAGGCTGTCAATCAGGTTCTGGGATAGGTCAAGCAGCTGCAGGCCTGGCAGACCAGCAAAACTGTCCACCTCAAGCATGGTGATGCCATTCTCAAAGACATACAGGTTGGCTGTGCCAGGTGGCACGTCCAAGGGCATGGTAGGGGCCTTGCGGGCAGCACAGAAGACGGTGTGAGGCTGGTTGCACTGGCAGCCCACAGGGCAGCCCCCAGCTCGGGGCCCCAGCAGCAGCAGCAGCAGCAGGGGTAGCAGCAAGGGCGGGGGCATCCTGAGGCACATCTTCTGGTCCCTGGGAGCTGAGCAGACAGACAGGGAAAGCTATGAGTGCTCAGAGGGCACTCAGGCAGCCAGCCAGCCAGCCTTCCTTACCCACTGCTGTCAAGCTGATTCCAATTCTAGTTACCCTGTGGGGTGGAGCAGTTAGAACTGCCCCTTGGGTTTTCAAGACTGCACTTCATAGAAGGAACCCCAGTGTCCAGTGCATATATGTAGGCTGCTAACTGAAAGATCACTGGTTCAAATACACAGCTACCATGAGGGAGGATAGGCAGTCTGTTCTCATTAAAATCTGCAGCTTCAGAAGACCATCGTTGTTACACATTGAGTCAGAACCGACCCATAGCTGAGACAGTAAATCACACAGAATGATATTGCCCATCTTTCTCTCGCAGAGCAGCTGATGGATTCAAACCACGTATCTTTGAATTGGCAGCACAATTCTTTACCACCAAGCCACCAGAGCTCCTACAGAAGCCCTACAGGAGTCACTTTGAGCTGCCTCCTCCCATATGTTTATAGCCCTGAACACTGCTGAAGAGCCAACTCCACACTACTTCCAACTCAACAGCAATGAACAACATGAATTGGAAGTGACTCAGCATCACCGATTTTTTAGTTTAACCTTTTTGGAAGCGGACAGCCACATTATTTATCTGCCTGTGTTTTGGTTAGCAGTCTAGCGCTTTTAATTACACCACGGGGCTTCTTCCAAATAGCATTGCAAAATCAAGGTAGTGGACCTGAAGTGGGGATCTTTCATTAGCAGCCGGAAGTACCACCAGGGCCCCTTGGCTGACCCTGTTAAGAATGGCAAAGGCACCTGTGCCTGCTTAAGAAGGAACTAGAAAGGAACTAGAAGGGAATCTGCCACCAAACCTCAAGTCCAGTGCCAAATAGTAGTTAGGAAATAGCCCCAGAGCCCTAGCCTGTAGCCTGCCCCAGCCCTGTTACCCCCTCTCCTCTGTGACTTAAAGCAGCTGTGAGCCCCTGTGTGCCATTCAGTGCTGCTTCACAGAGGCCTGAAGGCATGGGCCAGGTGGGGTGCATACTTCAGCAGGGGGCCTGCACCCGCTAAGCCAGTAACTGCAATGGCCTGCTTCCTATTTAATTGTTCTGATGGGTCCTGCCTAGCTGTGGCCCAGGAGCTCAGCTGAGATGGCCAGGAAGGACTGGGCCTCCCAGGGGCTGTAGGAGGTCACCCCACCCCATAACTGCAGCAGGGGAGATGGCAGACTGGCAAAGTGCGTAAGCTAAGAAACTGGCCGGCCACCATCCTGCTCTGCGTGTCCCTCCCCTGTTCTGCGTCCCTATTCTGCCAAGCAAGAGGCTGCAGCCTTCACATGGAAATTATTGTGACTCAGTGTTTTTCCACTTGTGGAGCCAGACCTGCCTGGAATTGCTCTGTAGCCAGGATGTGGCTGGGAAGGCGAGGGGCCATGGGCACTTCACTGTCACAGGAGGGGGGACAAGGAGTCCTCATCTGCCCCTCACCATCTCTGAGGTGCTGATGGTAGAACAAGAGGTGTGGGGAGAGAACCCAGGACTAAGGTGGGGAAAGCTGGCAGGTGCAGTGCAGAGGCCAGGCCTGGAGAAGGTCTGGAAAATTTGGAGTCTGCTTTGTGCTGGGCAAGAAGCTGTAGTCTAGTGTGTAATGTATCAGGCTGCTAGAAGGCCAGTAGTTCAAATCCACCAGCTTGCCCTGAGGGAGAGACGGATACTCGCCTCCTGTGAAGATTTACAGCCTCAGAAACCTGCTGCAGGGCTTAGTGAGATACTCGTAGCTGTGGGTTAGGGTTCCCTGCTGGCCACCAAGGCTTCTCAGTCCCTCCTGCATGCTGAACTGGGTCTAATTTTTTTGGCCACCTTCATGGTACCCTGTTACTCTTGAGTGGGCCGCAGAGAGCTTGGCTCCAGGCAGGTGGGCAGGTGTGGTGTCCCAGGCCAGGAAACCTGAGCTAGGCCCCAGCCTAAGCACTTTTAGGTGCGCCAGGACGGCCAGCTCCAGCCTAAACAGGCTGAGAAGGGGCTGAGTCCCACCACACAGTCTCCCAGGGTCAGGGGGACAGGACCATGCCCCAGTGCAGCCTGACCTGTGAGCCCCTTGAGTGCCAGGCTGGCCTGGGAACCTGCTGCCCAGCAGCTGGCACCCCTCCCCCAGCTTGGGCACTCACACTAGGGCCTTTGTGCTGTGGTGCAGATGGGCCCCTCCCCGACACGGGTCAGCAACAGCAGGTAACACTGCCCAAGCCAAATGGCTCTGCCCACAGATAGGAGAGCCGCTCTAGCTTCTAGATGGAGGAAGAGGGGCTGGGTGGGCCCACAACAGAGACTCCCCAGTTGAGAAATGTTACACCTCTCTGTAACCCAGCAGCCCTAGTGTTCCTTCTACTGTCCCTCAGACCAACAGCCTGTATTTTGGGGGGGGGGCCTCTGAAATGAAACAGCCCCAGTGACTCAGTGGTTAAGTGCTAGCAGCTAACCCTCCCAGTTACTTGCTTCACAGGGGCAGTGCCACTGTGTCCTGCAGAGATGCTGTGACTCGGAACCACTGGACTTGCAACTGGTTTGGTTTTGGAATGCTATTTAGAAGGAGCCCTTGGATGCTAACTGAAAGGTTGGCGATTCAAAACTACCACCTGCTTGCTGTTGTAAATATTTAGTCTTGGGAGAGCTCTGTGGCAAGTCCCTATTCTATAGGCACATTGAGTCAGAATCTAGCCCCTGGTACCCCACAACACCTGACAGGAGTACCCTGTGGCCTGGCTCAGCCTGGGCCCTGCCTGGCCCTGGGGCTCCCCACAGCTGGTTATCTCAGCCCCTGCAGGCTATGGCCCCCACACCCGGCACGTGATCACCCCCTTTCACCCTGACTCAGAAGCCATCAGTCCAGCTTGGTCTGCAGATGTTGGCTTCAAGGACTGTCACCCCACCCTATAACCATGTAGGGGGGTGCAGCCACCTCCCCTTCTGAGTCAGCCCTCCTGGCTAGGCCAGGCTGAGGTCAGGAAGGGAGCACCCAGGCTCTGGGCTGGGATGGGACCCCTGTGTGTGTTCATCTGGCCACCCTGAAGCCTCCGCTCCCCCTTGGGCCTCATATAAGTTCCCAGTTTTAAGAACTGTATGGAGTCACCCTGCTGGAGGCCTTGATTGTAGGAGGAGATGAAGGAGCCTAGCAGCACAGGGCTTAGAGCACCTGGCTGTTGACTAGGTTAATGGAGGAAACTGAACAGCAATTCTGCAGGACGAGGTGAAGCATCCTTGCATGGGGGTCATGACCTTGGACACCACAGTGGTTCTGTTCTGCTCTAGGGTTACTGCAATGATAGGATTTGCTCTTGATGTTTTGAAGGAAGCTCCTAGGACAGCAGATGGGTGATGGGGCCGCCGACACCCCTGGCCAGCTGGCCCTGGGGCAGGCGCGTGCCCACAGCACAAGCAGACAGGGGTGATGGGGCCGCTGGTATCCCCAGCCAGTTGGCCCTGGGGCTGAGCATACGTCAATGGCACAGGCAGACCTGGTTTTACTACATTTGCTTTATGTGCCTTGCCAGATCATTATGTGTTTTACAAACTGGGAGTTTGTGATGACCCTGCAATCAGCAAGCCCGCTGTTCTTCTCCAGCAGCCCTGCTGACTTCCATGTCCCTGGGTCCCATTTTAGCCACTTTCACAAGATTTCAAACTTTTCATCATTAATAGACTGCAGCACAAACATAACTCTTCTACCCACTAGTAACCAAAAAGGTTGAGTGCTTGGATTGAGAGCACTGGACTAGTATTGAACCCGATAACATCCTGAGGGGTCCAGCTGTAGTCCCTTTCCTCAGTTGTCATTAAAAGGAGGGGGACTGCCAAGAGTGACAGGGGTCTTGGTCTGGGGCCCCCAGGCAGTCAGCAGCTAACCCAATACCCCCACATGCAAAATGAGCCCATGTCTTTACCCTACTCCACTCAGGGCAGGCCTGGCATGCACCCCTTCTCAACTCTGTGCCTCAGTTTCACTACCCATTAGATTGGGGTTACACTGCGCCATCTTCCTCAGCTCTGGAGTTGTTGAGAGCACAGAGCTGTCTTTCATTTTACTGGGTGTTTCTGAAAAGTGTATTAATTATGGGAGCACTGGTTGCACAGTGGACTAAACACTAGGCTGCTAGTCGAAAGGCTGGCAGTGTGAACCCAATCAGCCGCTTGGGAGGGAGATGAGGCAGCCTACCCCAGAAAGATTTCTTGTCTTGGAAACTGCAGGGGACAATTCCTCTGGCTGGACCATAGAAGTCTCTTAGTACATGGGAGGGGTGGTGGGTGTGTGTGTGTGTTGGATGATATCTGTTTCTGAGGCTTTGACTCCAGGCAGGAGAGTGCTGCCTGCCTTCTGCACAGACTGATACTCTGTCAGGATGGTACTCAGGGTGAGTAGGGGACTATGAAGACGAAAAGCAGGACCACAATGAGGCCTAGGGCTCTGCCCTGCCCCCTGGACTTAACTGCAGCCCCTATGTGCCCCTAGCCTTGAGGTGGGAGGAGGAAGAGTGAGCCCTGTGGCTAGCTAGCCACACCACTGCCCTGGGGCAGTAGCTGGGGAGGGTTTGGAGGTCCACACCTTGTGGTTCCCACAACTTAATGCCATCAATCCTTTATCCCCATCTGCAAATGAGGTTCCTACTGGGGTGCTAGAGCTGCAGTGCTCATGCACATCACAGCTTCTCTGCACCTTCAGGAGGCTGGTGCTGGATTCTCCTGTCTAGGAAGCATAGAGGCAGTGGGTGAGGGGCTGATTAAGACATACTTAGGATGTTTGTTAGCTCTCGGAGGACCAAGCACTCCTGCATAACACTCTCAGTTCAGAATCGGGTTTGTGCATCTTAGTGCCCTAGGGATGGCCCGACCCCTGACCAGATAGGTCGGATCTGAACAGAAGGACAGAGGCTGGCACACTGCTGACTGGGACACTTCAATGTCCCGGCCCCCTCACTCCAGGCCTGCTCTCTGGCAGTAGCTCC